ATATTGTAATATCATATATATGTATAATATAACATAATATTATAATATTTAACAATATCAATAACTATTTAATATTACTGTTCCACAATATATCTATCAATTAATCGTTTCCTGCCGGATTCCGTTCTCCAGCACCATCCTTCTCCAATGAAGCAGCGACCGTTCGATCATCCGTCAATGCCAGATGATCGAACGACGATGCCGCGAGCCGAGGAAGACGAGTTCGTCCGTCGTCGAACACCAGTGCCAGGCGAGCAAAAGAGCAACGGGGCATCAACGCGTCCGGCCGTCATCTAGCAATAGCACGATACCCCGAATAACGGAATAACGGAACAACGCAGGCTCCGAGAGTTCGTTGCTCCGATTTCCATCCTGACTGCGGCGTCGCGTCGCCGATCGCGTCGCCGGTCGGCGGAAAAACGTGCAAGAAGCCCGTCCGCCGGCATCTCTAGGATTCGTTCGATCCTCGCCGAGGGCGAGCGCGCTACCAAAATATCGCTTTCTCGGGGAAACGCGTCCGTCCGAAAGGAGAAAGCGAGAGTCGCGCGGCGCGGCGTCGATTCGTCGATCGGTCCCCCGCGCGCTGCCGCGAACCGTTGATATTCTCTAAATCGCCGAACGATCATCCCCTCCCTCCTTCCTCCGGAACCGCCGACGCTCCCGCGCATTCGTTCCCGCGCCGAAAACCGCGGTCGCGGTCGCGGGCGTCGCCGCCGATCCTTGACTTCTTGCCAACGGGGACCCGCCCCCCGTCCGCCCGTCCGCGACCGACCGGCGAAACGTCGCCGCGCCGAGAAAGTTCCGAAGCGCTTTCTTTTCGTTCCTGTCCGAGGCGCGACGTTTCGCGATTTACTTTCCGCGGGTGTGCGTTGGCCACGGTCGCGAAGCGCACCGAAACGTTCACCTTTTTTTCTCGACTCCATGCGAATTCGATATTCGGTCGGGTCGCGTCGGTGTTCGACGCACGCGTCCAGCGATATCCGAGCGTCCTCGACGCGTCCGCGAATCGAAGTCGCGAGAGGAAGAAAGCGCGTTTCGGTGGACGCCCCGGCAGCGTCCTTTTTTCAAGAGGAACAGACCGCGAGGCAAACCGGACTACTGTCTCGCGACTCGAACGGCGGTTCTCGCAAACGTTAACCTCTTGCCGTATTTTGACGAGTCCGACTCGTTATGAACATTTCTGATGATAACTTATCGAGTGTAGATGTTATTCCGGCCTTTGAAATTGGAATGAAATTCGAATCTTTTGTCGTCGATATTTGAGCATTCGAGTAAATTTAGGCACACGATGAGCATCAATTTTCTGTCGCTTCTAAGAAATTATTGCAATCGAAAAATGTCTAATTTACAGTAACTGCGAAGAAGACGGTATGTCAAGGGGTTAATCGCGAACAAGACGACGACGGATAGAGACGCTCTCTCAGAGGGGGTCCGAGAGATGGCAACAGGTGTTTTCACCGTCCCGTCTCGTTTCGCCTAGCGTACACACGGTGGTTCGAGCATGTCGTTTCGTCGATTCGCGGTTCGACGAACCTTCGATTAACCCTTTGCCCCTGCGATTTAAGTTTCGCGCACGCGTGCCGCAAACAATAACAAGATCGGAGTCGATAACAATCGACGCATCGTGGCTTTTATTTCTGGCCAGATGTTTCGACCACGTCTCGCGGACGTGATGACCGTTTCTGGCTCGATTTTTTTACTACGTCTCTTAGACGTGATGACCGTTTCTGGCTCGATTTTTTTACCGCGTCTCTTAGACGCGAGAATTATTTTTGGCTCGACTTTTTTTACCACGTCTCTCGGACGTGTTAACTATTTTTGGCTCCATCTTTTGACCACGTCTCTCGGACGCGATAATTATTTCTGGATCGATTTTTTTATCACGTTCGAGAGACGTGATAACCATTTCTGACTCGATCTTTCGACCACGTCTCTCAGACGTTATAACGATGTTTTACTCGATCTTTTGGTAACGTCCCTCAAACGTTATAACCATTATGTGACCTCGTCTCTCAGACGTAATAATCATTTCTGACTCGATCTTTCGACCACGTCTCTCAGACGTTATAACCATTTTTTACTCAATCTTTCGGCAACGTCT